GGGGGTCTCTAATTGCATGTTTGGGGAGGGGTCTGTTATAGACTATGCCATTTAAGTGTACAAATCCCCATTTAAGGAATAACGTTTTCCAGGTGTGCAGCGTTGTCCCAGCGCCTGAAGTTGTGAGCTTTGTCACTCGTGCCGGGCGAGGGCTGTAACGAAGCCTGGGTCAAGGAAAGCAGCCACATGACTGGAACCCCTCTAGGAAACTGAAAGCAGGAGATAGCCACCCGGTCACACAAAGATGGAGGGTGTTTGCCCCGTTTTATCGTGGGAAGAGGCCACAGCTAGATTCTGTCAGCAGTAGAAGAGAAAATGGCCAAAGGCCATGAACTGAAAGAAGGTGATGGAAGTGGCAGCTTGCACGCCAGGTCTCCAAATAAACACAATCCGATAGTCCTAGGTCTAAGGTTTTAATTTACTGAGTTTTATTTCTAGTCTCCTATTCCGACCAATAACAACTAACATACGCACTGCCATACCCCCAACTTTGCCATCAATTTAATGGTGCTAGATGTTAAAGTAAAACATTATACATTAGGAAAAACACTCTTGCAAATCAAAAGAAATTATAAATTGAATTCATTTAATTTATCTATTAATACTTATTAAAAAAATTCAAAATAAGTTAGTGACAATCTACACTTTCAGTATAACAAGATGAACCAAGTTTCAGAGTGTAGGCCCTTTATTCAACCACTATTTCCCCCTCCCCCCTTTCTTTCTCCGTGTGTGTATACACACAAAATATAAATCTCATATATACCTCCATACATGTTTTTATCTCCATATATATTATGTGTAATATATAGTTACTTAAGAATGACCTTGAAGACAACTTTGAAAAACAAGCAATAGTAAATAATTGGTAAAACTGTTGTGTTACTTATTATAATTAGATAATGATACTCCATGTGTAAGTGATAAACACCATTTTCAGAAAGGTTAGATGTTTAAAACACATTAGTCATTATGTAAACTGAATATAGGCTCATAAACTCCATTTTGGGAGATGACAAAAGTAGCAATATTCATGCTTTCACAAAAATTAAAAAGACAAAGCACAGATTGCTAGACAGAACTTCAGTCTAGCTGTAAGACATTTGTTTTTGTATCTGTCAGTTAAGACTTTAAAAACATTTTAAAAGCCAGGTGATTATCCCATGTTTGCTTCATTTCTTAAGAATGTGTGACAGGCGTAATATTTTGCAAATATTAAATTAGGGAATTAAATTCTCCTTTAAATTCACAGCGTTCTGCTCCAAGTTATATTTTGAAGCATATTGCCCCAGGGAAGAGGAAAATGGTTAGTGCTAGAAGCAAGCAAGTCATTGATAAACTTTGAAGTTCATAAATTATGTTTTAGCCCCTTTAGCAATACAGTTTGGTCATGAAAGACAGAAATTAATAAATTACTGTTGCTCCAGATTAAGATATAAAAAAAACTGAGTGTTAGACCTTGGAATTGTGTGGAAGAGAATGCCCTGAGGAGGTGGAAAGAAGAGTGACAGAAGTCAGTGGAAGAATGGAAGAAGTCGGCTGCCAATCTCAACGTGTGTGTGTGTGTGTGTGTGTGTGTGTGTGTGTGTGTGTGTGTGTGTGTGTGTGTGTGTGTTGGGGTGTTGGTGGGAGTATGTGGAGGGATGGATAGAAACATCGGAATGGGCTTGGGAAGTCTGAGAACAGCAGGGGCTGTGTGTGGGAGTATGCTTACTTCTGGAATAGTATTAGGGAGGTACAGGTTACTAGAAAACCAGCTTTTAGCTTAGTGCCCTAACATGGGATAAGCGATTTGCAGAGGTGCCAATGGAAGGAAGATAGAACTGGGTGCAATGCTCTTCTCAAGGATTAAAGACATCCAAATGAATATAGGAGTTTGTGTTGCCTCATGTGGGCCCACCCTGACGGCACCTCAGTCTTGGCCTTCCATTCCTCACACTGACCTGCTGCTGTTAGGCATGAGATGTCCTTCAGATGTTCTTCTGGTGACCAACTGTCCTGGTTTTCCTGGATCTGAGGGGGGTGCCCAGGAAGCAGGACTTTTGATACTAAAGCCTGTAAAACCATGGGCAAACCAGTATGGCTGGGGCTCAGAAATGCTGAGATTTTAACACCAGATTTTAACCTGGAGAGGTTAATGAGAGATGGGAACTTGTGGATAAGTTTCCCTGCCCCCTCTTCTGACTGTCCTGAAACATTCTGAAGATGGTCCTGCAAGATGGAACAATCACCTGTGCTTGATCGAAGTGGAGGTCAGCTCAATAATTTACTCCCTCATACCTACTGGCATTATTTTTCTGCCCCTCTCTGCTTTCCTTTATTCCTGCATCCCTTGGTTTTCACTCCCAAGTGAGATACTGGCATACAAGTTTTACCTTAGGCTCGTTTTCTAGGGAACCCAGGCTTAGAGGCAAACACTTATTAATTCTAGGATTAGAAATATTGCACAGAAATGCAAAACATAATCATACTTTACTACATGGCTTTCCTCTGATTAACGTTTACATATTTGTGATATTTTAACATACTGAATAATGACCTATCTAAAAGTTTGATGGAACTCTTTTGTGAGCATGAGCTGATGGGAAGGGTGAATGTGTATGGTGGGGTAGGGGTGAGAAAAAGGTAAACCCTTAACTTCTAGAGTGGGAAGTAAGTAGAAAAATAAGGCATTGTTTGAAAATACAGACATAAAAATGAAAGAATCAACTAGAATAATTTAAGGGATTAGCCTTTGGGGAAGGAAAAATGGATGTAGAAGGAGAGAGACCGTTTTTTAAAATCTTAACAAACATTGATTCTTTAAATTTATTTAAAAGTTCATTAAAAACTTTGATTAAATAAAAATAAACTCCATAGCTACTTTTAAATAATCTAATTTTTATAGAACTTGGTATTTGAGATTCAATAGCATCTGCTTTCAAATAATTTTTTACTAAATTGGCCCCAATGCAATATTGTCTTTGGCATATATTTATCATATGCACATTGTGTGTGTGTGTGTGTGTGTGTGTGTGTGTATTTAGTCTAAGGGTTAATTTAAGTGTGAAAAACTTAAAAATATAAATTCTTTGGCAGCACGGGAAACTTTTATTCCACTAGGTGTCAGCATAGCACTTTGAATAATTGGGTGAACAATGAAGAATCATTGCTTGTTCATAAACATGTTTTTGTTTATCTTTCCAAGGATGATGACAGGAAATTTAGATTAAATAATATAATCAGCTCATGTATTATAGTAATCATTGTCTACTGAAATGTTCATTTTTATTTTACCTATTCAAATTAATGTCAGCTGCTAAAATTAGTTAAGCTAATCTACATCAAGGGAATAGAAAAAAACCAACAGTCACATGCAGGAATGACAGTAATGAGGATGTTTCCTGCATCTGTATTTTGGGTTTCAGTCAGTGGCTTTTTTCTTCACTAGGTTATGAAAGAAATTTGGACATTAGAGAAGATCAAAAGCATTGCATTTCCCCTTTCTGTTATCTACTTTATAAATATGCTTTAAAGGATATGAGTAATAATTGACTAGCTTGGTGTCATGCTAAGTGTAAGTGACAAATCTTTCTTGTTAAGGGAACATGTTGGGTAATTCATGAGTTAGACACTTTTAGGTTATATTTTTGCCCTCAGACTACCCAATGCAGCATCATTAGCTTTGCCTTTGTGTTGCCCCTGATTCATCTGAATGTTAGCTTCACCTTACATTAAATAGTACCATGTGATTTCACTCATGTGGACCTAATGAATACAATGAGCTAACGAGCAAAATAAAGACAGACTCGTAGGTACAGAGCAGGCTGACAGCTGTAGGGGGGGTGGGGCTGGGTGGGTGTGATGGTGGAGGGATTGAGCAAAAAAGGAAAAAAAGAAAAAAACTCGTGGACACGACAACAGTGGGTGATTGCCAGGGTGAGGCGAGGGGCGGAGGAGAGTATAGGGGGGATAAATGGTGATGGAAAGAAACCTGACTTGGGGCGGTGAACACACAATACAGTGTACAGATGATGTGTTGTGGAACTGTACACCTGAAACCTCTATAACTTTGTTAACCAATAGCACCCCAATAAATTCAACAATAAGGAAAACAAACAAACAACAAAAACAAAAAAATATGTTTCTTGTAGGCAGCACGTAAAAAAAAGAAATCAGTTGTTAATATGTGGCAGTTTGCCTACCTCACACCTCCTTCTTTGTAATGAAGCTAATATAATTACATCCACAGAACTAAAAGTAGGCCCCAGGAGAGTAAGATATTCTAGAACAGCAATTTTCAACTGGTGTGCTACAAGAATGTTTAAAACATGCAATTCCTGACTATTGAGTCAGGGGCTCTGACCTCTTTTCTCCTAGATTGTCAAAGAGAAAAATGACAACAGCCAACACAACGATAGCTGCCTGCTGTGAATGAATACAAATTATACCTATTTTTTTGGTCAGATTAGCAAAAAATATAATGTAATTTCCTGGCGAGTGGTAGGATTTTAGTAATTAGTTTATGTGTGCCGTGAAAATCGCTGTTCCAGAAAGAGAGATAATGTCGTCATCACTGCTTGTTACAGCTAAATAGTAACCTTTACTCAGTGACACGTGGAACTTCTCTAGGGATTTTGTGAACTCATTTACTCCAAGTTTACTTTGTTACCTCCAGGTACATCCCCCACTCCCCATCAGGCTTTTGAGGCACAATTTACATAGAATAAAATGCATGGATTTCACATGTAAAGCTGAATAAGTTTTGACAAATGGATCCAACTATGTAAGCCCTCCAATCAAAATATTAAACACTTCCACTTCTTCATGCTATTTTTCATAGTAAAAGAATTATTTTAGTGTTGATTTACTCACAACATCAATCAAATACATAATAAAAAGCCAATATCAAACAGTCTAAACTATAGACATTTTGGGATATTAAAATATTCCATGCTGTAGAGAAAGAATTTAGAGAATGTTAGGTAAATTGATATCTCTAAAGGCTTTTTTTTTTTTGCAAAACAATCTTTTAAAAATTTAGATTGAAGAAATACTATATGGTACAATTCTAAGATGAAGATATACAAACACATGCACATACATACGTATATACATACACATGTGTACATAGTAAATACAGACACATCTAAAAATACAAGAAACATGTCTAGTTTCTCTTCTATTATTTTTAGAATAGTATCTAGAACATAAGTGCACAATAAATATTTGTTAAAAGGATATATAGAGAAGATATATATGTTAGAGCATTGGTCAATAAGACTTGGTCACTATGGAAGCAGAAGGTTGAGGAACTGAGAAAGACTCTTGGCATTTTCTAATTTAGATTGCTTGGTGTTAGCA